TTTTCCTGCATGGCAATCCGAGTCACTGCGTTCAGGAGAAGTGCTTCTAGGTCTTACAACAGCAGCATTTTCCATTAAAGAGTTTAAAGCGTTAATGGCTTTACTTTTGGCCAAAGCATCTTGTAAGTGTAGTGTCTTAAACCTCGGATCCAAAACGGTAGCTAACGCTAAAATCGAATGGTGTTCCAGTCTATTAAATCTCTTAGCAATTTGTTGCTCAAACTCATATTTTAGTTTAACAGTAACGTTGTTTCTTGGTGTTTTTGTGTGGAGCACATCACGAACGCAACTAATGAGCGGAATTACTTTGCTGACTGTAACGTAATTTTCGGCGCACAACTCTTTCGTTATAGTTTCGAATGGCTTTAGAAGTTCAATAACTTCTTTAATTATATCTAATTCATTTCCTGAAATCATTGGGGGCGTATCAGAGCGTGAGAGTAAAATTTCGTTGATAGTACCAGCCAGTTCCACGAACCTCTGCAGCATATAAAAACAGGAGTTCCAACGCGTTTTGACGTCTAGAATAAGTTTTTTTATTTGGCCATCTGACACACCAGCGTTTTTTTGTTTTTTTCTTAGCTCGTCACTAGCGTTAACGGACCTTTTAATGTATTTCACGATTTCTCTTACATGCGAAATTATTGTTGAAACATCGGGTGATTTTTCTATAGCTTGGGTAACTACCAAATTAACAGTGTGTGCAAAGCATGTTATAATCTTTCTCTCTCCAAATAATTCTCGACTTAATTTTAGCATGGTACTGTCCACGATTGAGAGAATACAAAGGTTGCGCCGATCTCGGACCGCTATTCCTCTCTTAACGAATTTGACAGAATCGTTGTTTGCATGGCGTCACACTTGTGCAACTTGTTTACGTTTTCCTTGCAACATTTTTTCTTCTTCTTCCATTCTTGCTCACGTTTTGGCATTTCTCTCTTGCAATTGCACCAGTGTGACGTCACACAAAAGTTATTTTCAAAAATCCTCTCTGATCGGCGCAATCTTGTATTCTATCATTCTTGGGTACTGTCGTTATCTGACACCACTGCCACTACTTTCTCTGCACATATGCCCCATTCATCGAATATTTCTGTAAACTTTTTTTTTAGATAGTCCGCTGTATGACTTTGAGTTAGCTCAAAAACACCAATTGTTCCACTAACAAGTTTTGTTTTGTTTAGAAAATGAATAGTTATACCAGCAAATGATGTGGTCTGCATCATTTCGGTCCATATATCGTAAGTCAACGAATAGTATTGCACTGTCTTAAGAGACTGCTTAAAAATGGTCGACATTGCCAGATATTTTTCATCTATTCGTATCTTGAATGTCTCCCTACACGGGACCTTGTATAGTGGAACTACAGTCTTCAACAATTGTAAGAAACCTTTTCCCTCTACAACTGAAAAGGGTTTGTTGTCATTTACTATGAAGTTGACTATTGCTTCGGTTATTTTTTGAAACCGCACTCCATCTTTGGAGCTTACGCTATTAATTTTTTCAAACAAGGTGTCTACAGCCGGTTGGAGCAATTCTAGTTCTCTTACGTCTTTAGATATGGAAGGAACACTTCCTTGACTCGAACAAATAGACGAACCAGTGGCTCTTGATTCCTGAACATCAGGATTTATGTCGATAAATTCCGGCATCTTTTTTTGGATTGCGACGGACTCAGTATTTTCTTGCAACCCACTTTCTAATTGTTGTCCATGGATTTTGTTTAGATGACAACGCAGGTTTGACGTATTGCCAGACGTTTTCAAAATTTTGTTACATAATGTACACTTTGCAGTGTTGCTACATTTTTTTTTAAAAAAGCGCCAAACTTGACTTTTGCTTGACATTTTGAATTCAGCAAAACTGTTGGAAAATAGTTACAGTTAAAATATTTATTAATGTGCGGTAAACAAGTATATTTTTTGAGAGAACAAGTTTAAAAATGTGTTTATAATGCAAGCACTTTTCTTGTTTGATGTTCAAAACTGGTATGTAATTTGGAGTATGACAGCTTACAGTTTATAGACATTAGTTCACATGTGTTCCTATAATTAAGAGACCTACATGGTGAAGTATAATTTTGGCAAAAGAATTATTTTGTGGGACCTACTTTCAAAGACAATGGATATAGTGTATGGGGTGGACCTCGAGCTTAAACAATTATAAGCTTTGTAACCCAGTAGTTCGTTTTTAATAATATTCAGAATTTTAAAAACATTACTTTGTGGTTTTGTGGTCATATAATTAAGTTACTTAGAAGAATCTTCTTTGTAGCCAGAAAATATGTACATATGTACACAACACGATATGTATTCCTAATTAGATAGTACTAACTTGAGGTAAAACATAATTGATTTAGAAATAAATATCTTTGCTTACAAAGAAAATTCTTTCAATTATGTAATTATATGAGCAAAAAACACAAAATAATATTTTGAAATTTCTGAATTATTTGATTAAAAACGAACTATTGGGTTACAAAGCCTATAATTGTTTAAACTCGAGGTCCACCCCATACACTATATCCATTGCCTTTGATAGTAGGTCCCAAAAAACAGTTCTATTGGCAAAATTATACTTCACCATATAGATATCTTAATTATATATCGCACACCGTCTTCAAAAGAGGCACAACTCAAAATTTGGCATTTTTGAAATTATGCGCTAAAAATGTACACAGAGCTTTTATTTACCTTTCAGCAAAAACTGGAGCAAATTTTTGTTATAATTTGGTAAAAAAAAACCTAAGGTAAAGTCTCCCTTGCCCATATGATTATCATGTGCTAAGAAATAGTTTTACGCATTTTCTGACGAACGTGTAATTTTGAGTTGTGCCCCTTTTGAAGACGGTGTGCGATATATGAGCAGAAGTGTATATATAAAAACACATATCGGTACATTAATATATAAAGGCCCTATCTCAAATTGTCGCTGAAATGCAAAAAAGTTGTAACGTACTTATAATTCGATGCAACGCATCATAATCAATCAAAAAGTGATTTTTGGATTTTTAGTTAATTACGGGCTTTTGTACTTCAGCGACGATGTGAGATAGGGCCTTTCTGTATTAAGGTAACGACATATACTTCTGCATTTTGTAAACTTTAAACGCCACTTCTGTTTTAATTTACCACTTCTGTTTTAATTTACGCCAACAATATCCACGTGTTTGTCTCTAATCCTTTTTCCAATTATCTTTTATATGTTAGTCCTCTATTCAGCAACAAACGTAGAATCTCCGTACCTGTATATTTAATGCATAACGTAAATTATTTGGTTATAATTATAAGATTTCTCACATTTTTTACAAGTCCATGCTCAGCAGCATCATCAGAAGAAAAAAAGAAACTATAATGGCCGATTGCTTTTATTAAGTGCAGGGCTGCCATCACCCGTAATACGCTTACCCAAAGAATATAACATACAAGGGGTGAACGCAATGGCAATTTTGAACCGAAACTAAAGTCGATGTTTAAAACATCGTTAAAATTGACATCGATATATCGCCAGTTTTACGATGTTGAGTAATTTGCAAATATCGATGGTAAACATCGGTTTTTTGGCCGATGTTATCGATGTTTCAGAAACATCGATGCATCGTTTGCATCCCTAATTACAATCCTCAAAGCCATAGACTACGCGGTGGAACATAGGTGGATGGGAAGGAGTTTACGTGTATGCAGTGACAACCAAACTGCACTTAAGGCATTGGCCAGCCCTCTCACTACTTCCAAACTAATTCAGCAATGCAAGTCTCGACTAAATTGTGGTGGTAAACATAACGAGCTTGCTTTACTCTGGGTACCAGATCACTCAGGAGTACCTGGTAATGAGACATCTGACCATTAGACCAGGCACTCTTCGGCCCGCAACCAGTTTTAGCACACCCACTTTCGGCCATCAAAGCAACCATCAGAAACTCGGTGAATACTTCGCTCAGAAATGACTGGAAGGCATCGAGGGGATGCAGGTGGGTAAACTCATGTTGCCTTCGATCTCAGAAGGTCTATCTAGTTTTTTGCTCTCACTGAGCAGACGACACCGCAGACAACTTGTTGGACTGCGCACTGGTCACTTCACGTGGCACAAACACCAGACTGTGATAGGCGTAAATGACAAGTCCATTTGCCCATCCTGCCTTGAAGAGGATGAGACGGTGGAACACTTTTTGTGCTTCTTGCTAGTTTGGTTGTTTGTCATAAATTTTTCTAGACTCGTTCTTTTTTCTACTGTCAGTTTCTGAAGTAAAAGTTTGGCCGTTTTGTTGTTTTAAGTTTTCTATTTTAAAAATGTGAGTGATAAATATTTTTCGCCTTGCTTTAAAACTCGGAGCTATAATAAAAAAAAACACAACACAAATAAACTATTTTACAAATACTCCACGTACAAAGTCATGAGTGAGCCGAACATTTGATGAGTTTATGGTGAAGATAATGTAAATAACGCTAGGGCTCGAAGTGCTCTTAAAAAATATAACTCCTCAGAGCAAGAGAGTATTTTGATGGATTTGCGAGTTCTATTTTTCAAAACCTGGAAGTGTGTAACCGCATAATTTAAACAAATAGAAATAACAAATATTAGAAAGAATATATTTTAGTTTTTCTTTGGCCACTCCGAGTTTAGCAATGGCGCGATGGCAATTTACATAGTTAGATCTAATCTTCACATTCATTTCTTTACGAGCTTTGAGAATACTTAGAAATGTATCAGCAGGGGTTACACCGTAACCAGTGAGTTGTTGAAAGGGGTATACGGAAAAAAAGTTTGGGAACCTTTGCTTTAAATGGAAGAAAATCCACAAAACCGTTAGCCAAAAAAATTATTAAAAATCAATGTGATTTCCTAGCGCCTTGAAATTTACACTTTATCCTACTAAAATTTATTATACTATAAAACTTAATACCTACAAGTTTTTAATAAAAACTTTAAAATTTTTAGGTGTAATTGTTAGATTTTTGTAATAAGTACATAGATGTACATATATAAGTATAAAATATTTGTTAATTTAAAGCTTCGATAATAGCTTGAAATGCGGTGTCATAGGCAAACTTCTTGATACGAGAATCCGTGGAGGCATTAGCTTTATATAGCAAAGCTAATACATCACTGAGATCAGTTCGTTTAACTTCAGATAAGCCAGTCTGGTTGAGCAAGCTTTGAATATTCGCCTCCAAACGTCTGTTAGCTTCGTCATAGTATCTTCTTTGATTCATCTCATATTCTACAAAAACAATATATGTATATATAAGTATTTTTGGGATAATAGTAATATGTATATATATATTCATATATATATATACATATATATATATATATATATATATATATATATATATATACATGCATATCAAATTACTGCACAAGCGCATCTGGTTTCACCTGAAAAATAAGCGATTTGTCGTCTACACACTTTTTTCCGAAAAAAACTTTTTTGTTGTTTATTTTTTGATGTTGGGCTGAGTCAATACTTTAAAGTATTGATCGATATTCGGTACCGATTTTAAAAGTATCCAATACTCTCGATTCTCGGTACCGAAATATTTAGGTTTCGAATTAAAGCGCATATAGGCCAAAAATATGGAAAAAACGGTTCAGGGGAGACTCGCCTATCAAAAGCCGAATGTAGGAGCCAATAGAGTTTTTAATACTGATTCAAATGAAAGATTTATATATGTCGGTTCGAGACCATAATGTAGAGAAACTCTTACTTGTTTGAAGCATTTTTGTTCCAGCTGAATCGAACGTTATCATGTTTGTAGGCCTGGGGGCAGATTCTGTAACCAGTTAGCGACAATTTTCGAATCGGTATCAGTTTTGTTGACGTATGACATGAAATATTTTTACGTCAACAAGTGCGATATCGATCCGAAACTCAGGATAAGAAAAGAAGAGATATTACTGAAAAATGATGTCTAGAATTGTTGCAGCACAGTCTATATTTTTAAAATTGCAAGTGTTTGTAAAAATTTGGCGAAAATATCAACGAGAAAAACATAAAATACCTGCTCCAAGGGAATTTTTAGACGCTAAATGAATTGAAATATCACGACCGAGTGTGCGAAAGTGTAGTAGTCATGTAATCGTTGCATCATGATCGTGACGATGAAGCAACTATGATTGGACGACCAATGTGCAGAAAGCCTAAGTTGTTGGATGTACGTATTGTAGATATGTATGTTAGTGGCTGTATATGGGTATGTATGAGGGTTTTGTTGTGTATGTCGGTAGGCATCACGATCCAGAAAATAAAGGTCCCACCATTCGCGGACCGTTAACCCTCTGTTCGTCGATTTAACAGCATCCCCCTAATCGCTGACGTCATAAAATACTTTTGCTTACATTCACTGTTGCCAACTTTATGCTTTTCGCTCCAAATGTAGTGAGTATGTAGAACGCGAAAATTTTTGAGTTTGCTACTTGGTGCGTTTTTGGTGCTTTTGTTTTTAGTTTGAAGACACCAAATTAAAAAATCTTAAGAAAATGGAAGCAAAATTTATAGCAATCGTATGTGTTGTAAGCAGCTTTACAAAAATTTAAACAAAATCATGGCACAGTGACAATTATAAGCGACAACAAAATATGTGGCAGCACCTTCAATCATACCAGAAGAAATCGACCGTCGTGCAAGAAACATTTATTTTTATTAATTTGAATCGGCATCCTTACAATAAAATTATGTATGCATATAAAGTCCATAAAATACACCAATAAAAATTTGGTGCTTTTTCATATTCAAAACTTGGCAATACTGCCTTTTATTCTATGCTTCCTATTTTTCTTGTGGAGCTCGTCTTGCTCTCTCATTCGGGTATTTGTTGACGTCACGGCCAGTTACTCTCAGGTCGATTGGCGCAATCTTGTATTCTATCATTCTAGGGGTAGCAATGTAATGCGTAATAGTGTATCGTAGGGAAGCTACGTTACACCTTTAAAGCTCAGTTAGTCTAGACTTAACTTAATTTAACTTACCATAAGAAATCATCAATGATTACTGTGCTCATTTATTTTTAAGAAATACAAAAACGAGAGTCTGGCAAGCCTGATTCTTTCACCGCTCCCAATTTCCGTACGGCCGTAACTTAAGAATCTTAGATCTACAGGTTCTTAAGTTACTTACGGTAAGTTAAGTTTTAACTAACCGCCAACACAGTTTGTCATATAACAGGTTGGCCAAAATATTAAGTTAAGTTAAGTTACTGAAATAAAGTCTAGACCAATTGAGCTTTTACCCATTGTAAATCAGAAAGGCTTAGGGCCGGTTGCTCAAAGCCTGGTTGACACTAATCAACGGTTAACATCGTTATCGACATATAACACGGTGTTGGTAACGTCGATTACAGTATTAGTGTCAACCATTTGCAGATAACAAATGCAACCACGTTTTACATAAGAGAGTTTTTAAATCGCTCTGCAAATTTTGGAACATCAAATTTTCCGAAGTTTTATAAAGAGCGAAATACACCACACAAGCGGCTTGTCAAACATTCTTCAAACCTACTTTTTACCACACCATGCACACATGACTCGTTTAAGCAAAGAATTTTAGTTTTTTTCCGGTTAACAATGTAAAAGGGTTTGGTTTTCTTCGATTTTTCTCTCTTGCGCCCTCATTCGGTAAAAATTCCGAGGCGCATGAGGCGATTTTATCATACACAACGTAAGCGGTTTGATCAAACGTCAACATGGCGGCCAGAAAATCAAAAAATTTTGATTTTTGTTCACATTTCCCTCAAATGGCTTGGCAAACCTGCAAAAGCCCCCATACATAACATAAATAACTTTAAGCAAAGGGGTATTTCGCTTTGTTTGTCAAGCCGCGTGTGTGGTGTTTTTCCCTCTTAAGCACATCTGCATTTGTTGCTAAATATTCAAAATGTTATCGATAATTTTTTCATTCCTTCGTTATATTTTCAACTTATTTTTAACTTGCAAAATCCTGATAACGAATTGTTTGATCATAAGGATATTCATATTCATTCTTCATTAGATCTAGAAAATTATAGGAAAAAAGTTTTTGAATTAAAAGATTCTTCAGGTTCATATAAGTTTCCCAATTAAAAAAAATTATATCTGCATTACTAATGCTTCAGTAGAACGTATATTTAGTAGTTTATAAATGTGTAGGACTAACTTGCATAGATATAGTTGCAGCAATATTATATACAAACCAAGGCATAGAAAATAACGACGATAATTTGTTTGAACCGCAAGAACAAATGTACCAATTGAGTTAAAGAATGTAATCAACTGTTATGTTAAGTACCTGTAAATAGCAAATAAGAAATTTTGAGTAATTTGTTCGGATTTTGAGGATTTTTCATTTGTTTTTGGGGAATTTGGTAATATTTTTGTGGCAACACTGTCAGGGACACCTACTTGTCTCAAAGTTTAACCACTTTGTGAAAGTCAACATGCCTATCAAACAGGGAAATCTACCATTACTGCAATACATGGCCTAACCCAAGTTATTGAGAAGGCAAAGGAGTATAAACAAATTGCCCTGTGTGCATTTCTCGACATATCGGGTGCTTTTGACAATACGTCATCCGAAGCAATATCCTTGGGTATGACAAGGTAAGGTAAGGACATTCCTAAACTCATAACCGACTGGGTCATAAGTATGCTGAAGTCTAGAACCATTATAGTCGAACTAGAAGGTAGTAGACAAACGGTAACGGTCACGCGTGGCTGCCCTCAAGGGTGTCCTTTCTCCCCTATTGTGGTAACTGGTTGAGGGCGAGCTTCTAGAAAGACTTAAAGGGAATGGCTTTAATGCATATGGGTATGCTGATGGCCTTGTCGTGTACGTGGTAGGCTGGGGTGAGGAGATCATAATCTCCAGGTTGCAGTCTGCTGTAAACGTAACTGTGGGATAGTGTGCTGAAAAGGGCCTTTTAATTAACCCAATGATGTTCGTCATCGTCCTATTTGCCAAAAGAAGGAAGGTCAACTTGACCAAACCCAAATTGTGCCGGACTGAGATTGAGATCTCACAAGAGGCCTCACAGAGAGATCTCACTCTAGGCCTAATACTAGATAAGAGACTCAACTGGAACTCGCATCTCACAGCGGTTACCAGTAAAGCCACGAGAGCATTTTATGCTCGTCAAAGGCTAATGGAAAATGCTGCGGTGACGTCCCTTAGTTTCAGGTCGATGATGTCGATATCATTTGCATTCGCCGGCAGCATCGTTCTCTTGCTATACTACTTATATGGCGCCGCTACGATTCAAATTAGTAGCTTTTATTCAGGTTAGCAGCATTTATAGCAGCATCAGTTTGAAAAAGTTGCAGGAGAGGAATCGCTTTGCTTAAGACCTCGTTTGGTCTTAATGGGTCTTAAGGGGTGCATAGAGGTTATTTGCAATTTGAACAAACTTAAAGGTTGTGCTCAACGTTACCTGTACCAGCTCTTTTCGCGCACCAGGAGCTTTTCATTACGCCAGATGGATGGCAAAAGTTTAATACTCTTTAAAAATATTTTTATTTCGAAATGAATTTGCCTTATCGCCAGAGAAACCAAATCAGGTGTGCAAAATTTGTATTCTTAACCGACTTCACAAAAAGGAGAAGGTTATCAATTCGTCAGAATATTTTTTTTTTTATGTATATTATCGCATAACTTGGGCCATGTTAACCGATTTCTATAATTATTTTTTACAGAAAAGGTGTTACCTCACAGGTGGTCCCATACTAATTTGGTTTAAATTCGATCATTGCATTCAGGGACCGTAAATAGCAGTTCTTTTTTCCCAACAGTTAAACTTGGCCAGATATTTTTTAAGTTCGAAATAAATGTCTTTCCGGATAGTAAACAAACCGCTTATCCAAATTAAACAAATTTGGTACCAAATGAAAGAGTTTTTAAATAGCTTTTAAAGAGACATATATAAACGAAAATTGCCACCTATTTATATATATTTTTTTTATTTTAGTTTAAAATAAATTCATATACCTGACCCAGGCTTTGTTTTATGGTAATTAAAAATCATTTCTTTCTGCCCTGTATATCCTTCAATGCATCGAAAAATATCGATGTACATTTCGATGCATACAATCAAAGGAAAACATCGATGTTTTTTGCCACTGACATTCCTATTTCAGTATAATGTTAAATGACTTGAAACCAGCTTTAAGTCGACTTGTGCAGCACTTTAATACATATATATATATATATACTTTCTTACCGTTGGCGGAATCCATAGGTGGAGTTGGACCAGCTCCTTTATTCATGTCTACAAATACCATACATATTAATATATTTAAAATGCATTCCTATGGAAACTTCTTTCGTAAGTCGTTTATAATTTGGTTATTTATTGGCAATCCTAACTAAGTAATTTCCAAGTGGTTCATATTTAGAATCGCGCGCAAGTCTGTGTATTCCTAATATATATATTTCGTAAATCTATCGAATTCAGCTGCCAAAGCAAAACAACATAGATATTAGACAGAAAACAGAAAAGAAGAAGAATTGAAAGAACAAGCAGAAACAAAACGATTCGGTGTCAAATTGAATCAAGAATCTGCCGCCCTTACATGCTTATCAGGGTCGAAAATTTTAAGCTTTTCTTCAAGTTGATATCAAACATCATTCTCCAACTCATCTCTAATGGCGTTTTCTTTTCTCGAAAAAAATTTCACCTCCTTATATAGCAACATTATCAGAGTGCAACAAAATTTATAAAAGGGCACGCAATATGCATATGAAGATACTGAGAAAAGTACACGAAAACTTAACAGCCCTGGCGCGGTGTAGAATAAACGCAACATTTATTTCGAGAGAGGAAAACGCCATAACTTTGGACTGGAAGTTGAGATGAACCAGAAAAAAAACAATGTTCAATGCGAAGTGAATCAAGTGGTAGACTTACTGTCGGACTGTAGACTGACGGATTTTAAAGAGAATTATTGTAGTACGATATTGATTAACTACAAAGGAGTAAAAAAATAAAACAAAAATATTTAAACTTATCTATGTCATTTCAATCAAATGAGCCTCGACACACTAGTCTTTTCAGACGGTCTGAGTGGACCGTCTGAAACCAGTTATGTACTTGTGTACATATCGAAGGTCCTCTGTAATAACGACACAATTCAAAATTGCAAAAATAAAAACTCTTACTACTGTTTTGTAGTGGTTCTTGTCTCTAATCCTTATCTAATCCATGTTCAACTCTTACTAGAGTAAGTAGTAAGGATTGCTAAAGTAAGTACTAAATTTTAGATATCTATTAGACAAGAAATAGAGAAATTAGCCACTTAATAGTAGTAACAGAGTCAAACCACGCCAACTGTGTCAATGAATTTTCATTGATTTTCTGGAAAGTGAAGACAATTGTGGGAATCTGTAGATAATTATAGAATAAAAATACACTTTGGACGGATTTCGAAATTGCACTTCGTTTTTTTTTTTTTTTTTTTTTGTGGTATTATAAGAATATTGCAATTTTGAGAGGAAAATTCGTAACTCGCGACCCATTTGATGAAATTTTATGAAATATTTTTTGAAAGTTGCTGAAGCTTTTCCATTTACAATAAAAAGATTTGGAGAATAAAATTTCCAAAACAATTACTTCTATAATAACAATAATTTAAACAATTGCAATTATTGATATATTCTAGGCCCGCGATTGCAGTGAAATTTTGGCACAATATACTCTACACTCTTGTTTTTAAGTTCCAAAAAGAAAAAATTGGTCTTTCCAATTTTGACAGTCAGTCGCTATCGATTTTTTTCTCAAGCTGTAAAAAATAAACATAAGTTGTAAATAAACACTGATGTTTCAAGTTATACGTTAAATAATGTACGTACTTGTATATAAAAATGCTATCATTCACACAAGCTTATATGAAAATATCTATTTACTCAAGGCTTAAAGGCTTCCTTGTGGCTGTCTTTCAAGAGCTCAATATGCTTATTGCAAGAAAAGGTCGGTGAATACCGCACTGCACACATTGGTAAAGTGGTCAAAGGAAGCCTTCACGCATGAAGATTATGCAGTAGGGGCCTTCTTCGATATCGATGGGGCTTTCAACAATGTCACTCCAGAGGCAATAATCAAGTATATTCATAATCTTGGGGTTGAAAACAACCTAATAAGGCTAATCTGCAGCTTACTTTGTGACAGAACTGTCGCGGCGGAGTGGGGCCGCATCTGCACTCAGTGCAGAGTAATTAGGAGCAGTCCACAAGATAGTGTTCTAGAGGTGTCAAACGATCGATAGTCACACCATCGATAGTTTTTTTCAGAAAAACTATCAATATTCACGATAGTCTCGAAAAAAAACAAAACTATCGATAGCACTATCGATAGCGCTAAATCAGTTCGGTTGCTTTGTTTTTACAGGATCATAGTGAAATAAATATTATCTTATAAAAGTTATAATCATTCAAAATTAAGTAAATGCTTAGCCAAAATACTTCTCTTTTTAGAAAGTTCAAAAACAAACACAAGTTATACAAACAAAACAGGATTTACGATTAACATATGTATGTATTTTGGCCTAAATGCGCGCATATTTGAATATGACGTTGGCGTCACACTAAAAAACAAAGATTTTAAATCGAATTAAAAAATTCAAATAATTTCAAAGTAATTGGTAGAGATGATCGATAGTCCTACTAAACTATCAATATTTTTCATAGTATAAGAAAAAACTATCAATGAGTATTGATAGTCTAAAAAAATTGAAACTATCGATAATATCGATAGTGCTATCGATAGGTTGACAACTATATGGTGTTCTCTCTCGCCTGCTCTGGATTGCGCTTGTAAACAACCTTCTAGATGAACTGGAAAAATTGGGCTGTCGGGTGTATGTAGATGATGTGGAACTCCTGGTTAAGGGACGATTTCTATACACCCTTTTTGATTTGGCTCAAGGTTACCTGAACCAGGTAACTAGGTGGGCGATCAACGGTGGCGGAAGCCTAGTATTGAGGAAAGGGTACGAGGGGTGCGATAGGTATTCACACTTCTGAACAAACACTGAGCTCACAGGGATCGAAATTAGCCGCATTCGAAATTTCGTAATCGGCTCTCGGCGTTAAGTTAACCAAACCTTAGCTGTACTTCTTTGAGCTATGAAATAGTTGGTCACATTATTCCTAAATGTTTCACAATACCATATGAAGACACTGTCGAATAATTGAAATCAAATCATGCATCAAATCTATGCATGTCAACACAAGCAACACATGCGACATAGTCAACATTATTAATCACATTTTATATACGGGAAGAGATTTTGTAAATTTTTTAAGCAGCTATTATAGTAAAATGCATTAAAGAATTGTCTATTTAAAACCCTGTATGTGAGGCATTCCACACTATTTCAATTGGTGAAAAACTACTTTTGCTCGATTTTTGGATATATTTAAAGAGGAGGTCCTAAAGTGTTTGTAAACGCAAAAAAAAACAATAACATTTTTTTTTTCAAAAGTTATACAAAAAAAATATTAGGTGTCCCATTATAACTCGATAAATATTGGTTGTATCAAAAAAATCAATTGGTACTTTTTTATTGACAAAGGGTCAGAGATTTATAAAAGATTTTTAATTTTTTTTAAGTCCACTTTATACGTTTGTTAATGAACAATTTAGAAAGTTGCTAAAAAAAACATGTTTGCAGGTTTTTAAAAATCTGCAAATATATATGTGACAAATTTTTAAAGGGTGTCTCGATATAGGGCCTGAGATATTATTAGATAGCAGTGACTGATAAAAAAATTTAAAAAATCAAAAATGTAAATTCAAATTACATCACATACGTCAAGTGGGCCACTTAAAAATCTTTTCTTTCGGGTAACCAAGGTAGGTTCATACTTTGGTAGAGGTCCAGGTAATATTTGTTTCCCTATACTTTATTTTGCAATAATCCTTTTTATTTTATTTTTTAAATTAGCATGTTAAAGATTTACGTACGAAACATTGAATTTTTCCTTTCTGTACGACATTTTACGAAAAAAATTTAAATTTTCGAGAAGTAGTTTTTTTACCACAAATTTAATAATTTTTCCTAAAACGATATAGTTTGCCTGGACCTCTACAAAAGTACGAAGGAATCTTGGTTATCCGAAAGAAAAGGTTTTTAAGTGGCCCACTTGACGTATTTTTATGTAATTTGAATTTAAATTTTTTAAAAGTTTTTATCAGTCACTGCTTTGCTAAACAATTAATATCTCAGGCCTTATATCGAGACACCCTTTAAAAATTTGTCAGTTAAATCTTTGATATTCACTCTATCACATATATTTTTTGCAGATTTTTAAAACCTGCAAACATGTTTTTTTAGCAACTTTCTAAATTGTTCATTAACAAAAGTATGGAAAAGTGGACTTAAAAAAAAAATTAAAATCTTTTATAAATCTCTGATTCTTTGTTAATAAAAAAGTACTAATTGATTTTTTTGATACAACCAATATTTATCGAGATATGATGTGAAAAACAATGGCTTACGGCGGGACACCTAATATTTTTGTGGTTGTATAACTTTTGCAAATTTTATTTTTTTTACATTCCTCGCGTTTTGCCATATCTTAGAGGTACTTCTACATTATACTCAGTTAATATCAAAATCTAAAAAAAATCATAATTTTCATTGAAATAGCTAGGAATGCCTCATATATTTTCGTCAAAGGTAGGATCAAACAGTATTAAAAATATGCTACAAAAGCACAACAGCGAACAACAGCTTAGCTAAGTATCAACGACATGCTAAAACAGTATGTTTGAGATGGAATGACATGGTACAACACCTTGTTTGAGTTGACATGACATGGCTATACATGAAATTTTTGAAAAAGACATTTTTACAGAAAATGTTGAGTTTTGCAGTTCTTTAATATGAATGGCTGCACTACATTATACCATTGTTTTCCAAAAATTATCAAGATTATTACTTCTTACAGAAATATACCATCGTTATTCTGCAAAAATGCTGTTGACCAGTGTTATAATATAGATAACTTTTATTAATAAGTAAATTTGGATGAAATAAATTATAATTATTCTCTTTGTACAAAATAAATAATTACCTATGTATAACAAATAAAATACGTACATAAAAAAGAAGATTTCTGTTAACAAAATTCTGTGGGGATTTTACAAAACAACTTATCGGGCTTTGCAACTTTTTCTTTTTTTTAGTGCCAACAAACAGAATAAATATTACATGTAGATATTGTCTTCCCAGATAGCGCATATTTAATTCTGCCTAAATTACAAAACATCATTTTTGCCCACTCCCAAAGGTTTAAGGTAAGGGAAAAATTGATATTTTCAAGCACTACGTACACATATGTATTTTTTTAAACAAACTTTTTTGCTGAGAACTTATTTAAATTCTAAAAACCGAATGCCAACTTGAATTAAAGGAGCCAACACTGAAGTGAGTCAAAATGAAAATAAAAGAGCACAAATTTCTATGTAAAGCAAAACTCTCTGGGAATCCTACGAGACATCTGCCGGTTATCTAAATGGGAGATCTGCAGTCTTTTGGCATCATATTTTACATCAGAATTGAAGGGATTTCTGAAAAATCTGACCAGTTCTTTTGTGTAACTGTGATTTTGCGTCCCTTGTCAACATATGGCCTCGGTTGATGTTAACTTAAGGTCGTTGTTTTACTGCCTTAAAATTGAAGGGAAATTTTTACAGCGTTTTTTATGTGTATTGGTTTCTATTTGAGTGTATTGAGAATCGGTCAGTCTGAAAAGGCCTTGTAGGGAAGACAATAGGTAGTAAGAAAGAATGCTCCCAAATTCTCTCTCATGTAGAGAAAAATGCAATTTTCTGTACGAACGCAAATTTGCAAGTTTTTTTGCCAGCTAGTGTCCACGGTTGCATTTCAAACAAAAGAAAATCATATAGAATTTTTTAAATTCTTTCAGAGGGGCAAAAAACAGGATCTACGTGTATATATCTTGTCAGTCCGATTTTCTTCAACATACGTTTCAATTTCTTTGTCGGGTTTACTATATCGACTCTGGTTGAGATTACATTCCGATTAAGAATACAGTTTTTTTTTCTGCCGAGTACCTTTCAAATCATTGGATTAACTAAATTAATTAAGTAAACAAGTATTAACTTACGTTTTTCATTTTAAAATCGCTCCAGTTTGTAAATTTTTAAATTTAACGAACTTGTTTATTCAAATTATCGTCGGCAAAAAATCCAACCATGGCAAAATTTTGTCCTTTCTTTTTACTCGTGATTTATTTAAATAAAACATATGAAATTTAGTTGAATCATTTTAGCCGTTTTTAGCCGGTTTTATTTGCCATTTAGCTGGTTCGTCCAAAAAGTTCTGGCAACACTGGTAAGGCTTTGAATAACAAGAAACAATTGTTTGCCTTTAAACTGGTAACATTAAACACGAGACAGACGGGCATGCTTATGCAGATAAACTAGCACACAAATGCGCATAATAATTTTGTCCTGACATACGGCAGTACTGCGGATTAACGAGCCACAGGGTCGTGGGTTCGAATCCTACGGCAAGTAGAATTTACATTTATTTCGTTTTTATTAATTTGTAAATTTTTATTGTGGCGTAGTTATTCATATTTATTTCAATAGTGTTATCGAGCTTTGTACCACGATTTCTTTGTTAGAAAATATGGAAACAACGACAATGCTTAAGCGGTAGAAGTTATAGCAGCTATTTCGGAGATCACCACATCTCCTCATCAGACTTCTTTTTTTCTAGACTTTCAGCAGACATCGAACCCGCGTCATCGATGTGCAAAGTCAGAAGCGCTAACCACTGAGCTATGCACACACCGTAAGCTTTTGTCGCCAATCCATTTTCTTATTCAACCTACTACACTGAGGGAAATAATGCATAGTAGAAATTAATACTTTATATTTGATTATCGTTTAAAAATGTTCGTATTTAAAAATAATATTTTCATACAATATTTATTACGCACGTATTTTACTATTCACATCTGAGTATGGATATGTACGGAGGGACATGATGGCAATGAGGAGGCTGACTGCCTAGCGAAACAGGGAGCTGCCGCAGTATTTTATGGTCCGGAACCCTTTTGTGGGCTCACCAAAGCACATATAAAGGGGACCATGAATAACTGGGTAGACAAAATCTTCAACAGGCATTGGATGGAATGTCCAGGGCAAAGACAAGCCAAACGATTTATCTGCCCTTCAAACGAAGTTTCAAAGAAACTAATCAATTTAGGCAGAGAGGACCTCAAAACTCTCACTGGGTACTACACGGGACACTGTTCTCTTCGTTACCACCTCAGTAAAATCAATCTTTCAGAAACAAGCGTCTGTCGCTTCTGTGAGCTGGACGAAGAAACGCCAGAACACATTCTCTGTGAATGTGATGCTCTCGCTAGGCGCAGACTAGCCCACTTTGGTGGCGCTACCCTTAATCCATTTGAAATTTGGAACAAAACGCCCTTGGAGGTGCTAGGCTACATTAAGAGCCTTCCCTTATAGGCCGGGGGCCACGCACAATAGCCCACTTTAGAGGTCGCGGTGCATATGGCCCATAATAATAATAATAATAATGGATATGTAAGTGTACATACGCACCCCAAGCATTCAGAGCGCCGCTCTGGGAGAGGTGACAACACACACATTCATACATAGTACATACATGTTTATCCGTACAAATCGCGTGCTGTGGTGTTGATGGATATTCAACATTTGAAAGCAAATTTATATAGTACCTGGGTGTAGCTGAGTGCGCTGACATACTTGCCACAAGTTGTTGATATCCGGAGATGGTGGGTTCGAATTCCACTGCAGGCAACATGCAAACAATTTTTTTTTTTAGTTTTTGTCTTGATTATTCACTTCACGGATGCTTTTTCAGCGCGCTTATTTTAATATGCGCGTAATTGAATTGAATATTTACCAATATACAGTACTTTCGTTGACGTTTATAGTAGGATCAATTACGTTTCTATTTGATTTTAATATTTTTTCCCCTCAGTGTACTATCAAGTGCAGCTGATTCCCTGCTATTAAATTATGCAATGAATCTATTTCATGTATGGAATTAACAATGACAACCACGCTGTCAAGCTTTAACTACACTTGTAGTTAGTCGTATCGCAACAACACTAGATTAGACCTGTAAATAGCTGAATCATGTTTTAACGAATGTAGCTATTTACAAGCTTTTTTTCAATGTTTTCGCTGGTGGGGATGTGCGTGGTCTATGTGTTTTCACTACAGCTGATTTCGATAAATTTCCGATAAAAATTATAGAAGACAACGATTTGTTCGTGACTCGCATGGTTATTCGATCTGAATTACCCACCAATGAAGTGATTCGCTCTCAAAATTGTATACCGCATAACGTGATTCGGTTCGTAATTGGGCCGCCAATTACGAATGAGAGAGCGAATAACCTGCGTGAAAACATCGGCGGAAATTATCTGGCGACTATTTCTAATAATTTATGGGATCAACCGAAATTTTACGGCGGGCGTAAAAAGCAATGTAAGTCAATTAAAAATTTTTGTCCTACGTGATTTGACGTTTCGCTCAATGACATAAAATTTTCTCGTCTATTCCGACTATGCGCTGGATGAAATTATAATATCAATAACAAGTAGCAAAAAAATACAGTACCTGTGGTAGAATCCGTAACTGGACTTTTTCTGGTGGTAACATTAGTACTAGAATCATATTTTGATTCCTCGCCTGCAAAAACAGTATTAGTATGTTAAGTATAAGATCACAATAACTCATATACATACATATGTATGTACATAAAATAAATATTACATTATTATGTGTCTTTACACACAATACCTTCGGTAGAGACGGTGCTTGAGCTTTCGTCGGTGGTAACATCAGTACTAGAATCATATTTTGTTTCCTTGTCTGCAAAAACCGTATTAGTATGTTTGGGATACGATTACACTAACATCATATACATATGTACATAGTATAAATATTAAATTATCATGTGTCTTTATGCACAGTACCTTTGGTAGAGTCGGTGATTGAGCTTTCGCTGGTGGTAACAGCAGTACTAGAATCATACATTGTTTCCTCGCCTGAAAAAACAGTATTATATGTTAGGTTAAGACTATAATAACATCATATACGTATGTACATAATATATGTATGTATTTCAATATCATATCTCATTACACTGTAGGTAAATTTTAAGGTTTTGAAATATCACAGCTAAACGGCCAAACACGTGAACTTAATTTTGGCCTCTAGATTACGATAGCATTTTCAGAAAATCTATATAACGTCAAAATTTTGAGATATTTAGGGGGAAATTTTAGAGTTCTGAAAGTGAATTTTTCGTCGTTTAAAACACCGTGCTCAGGTTTTGAATTTTTTTCTGGGCAAAGGTTTTGATAACTGATCTTACTTAACTGGGATCTTTTAAATTCAATGGCGTCCTCCGTTTTTCCAGATTGGCTCTAGTTTTCGAGATAACGGTGCTTGAAAATCTGCTTAAATTTTGGGTTTTTGCTAATAATTACCTCAGTTTTAAGGTTATTTTACTAAAATTTTGCAGGTGACTGTATTTTGATATTACCTTAGCTATTTCTGAAAATCAGGCAAATCGGTTCACTATAACATATAGCTCCCATACAACTGATTGTTCAGATATGTGGTTTTGCGTTACAACTCATATTTTATTTCGTAATATTTTTTTGTAATATTAGTTTATATACTATTTGGGCCCAAAGTTGGGTTCTCTTCAATCCCGTTTCGGCATATTTTGCTAGTTTCTATCGCTCGAAAGATTTTTTTAATATCCTTTCAATCCTATCTATCCGCCAACATTGAATTCAATCGTTTTCCAGTGAATCGGTCCTCAAGACACATAATGGATTGGTGAAATCTCTCTCCTACCTCGTCGGTTTCTGTTGAAAGCTGTTGCTCGTGAAAGTCTAAGTTACTGTGTAGCATGTGGATTTTAAGCGACATGTGCACCTCAAAGGCGTCAAAAGATTCCATCAAGTTCGCAATAAAATTGGCATATTCTGGTGAACGATTTTTATACAGAACGTGTTTAAATAAAGCCCGAACTGCATCCCATGCAACGGCTGCTGTGGCATCAAGAATTTCCAAGAAGCCTTGATCCTTCATTAATCTTCTGATGTCCGGCCCATTAAGCACACCTGAAATAAAAATTATAGGGTTCTTAAAGCATGAGAGAAATATAATAAAATATATGAGCGAAAATCTCTCAAATGGGCCATCCAAAATTGGACGGTCAAGATATTTTCGCACAAATCACTTTATTCTGTTTATAACCACTTGAGAGATTTTCACTCATATACAATCAAAAAACTACCTTCAGGTATTTTTTCAACGGAAAGTTTGGAAAGGCATTATTTTTCAAATATAGAAACTCAGTTTCGTTGACTCTAACCAAATTATTTGATGTAATTCTTAACAACACCAAGTTTGATGTATAAATCGGGAAGCATGATTTTATTAAGCGCTATCAAGGGCTCGTGAACTATATTGAATTGACCAATCGATTGTTTCTTTCTTTTTGGCCAATCACATTTGGTATAGGTATTTCGCTCTACTATCCCAATGACAGAACAAACAACAGTATTTAGTGTAGCCCGTTTGCATGCCTGATAGTAGTGACAGAACTTTAAAATAACAGTTCACGCGCCACCTGCGCTCTTCGTACTTGATGCAATCTAAGATTAATTGCATTGTTTCGTAAGATTCCTTTATTCCAACCGCATGCAAGATGGGAACGAGTTTCTTGCTACTATCGCGATAGAGCAAGACTGCTTTCAAACTTCGCTTTGATGCGTCAATAAATAGACGCCATTGTTCGGGTTTATAGTCAGTAATTCCCATTTCATTCATCAAACCTGCAACATCAATGCAATAAGCCTGAGAGGCCGTTACTTTTACTCCTGGTGCTAAAACATTCACGCTTTTGAGTTTTGATGCCAAAATCATTGCGTTGTTATCGGAGAGATTTAATTTACGCACCATGCTGTTTAGGTGTTCTTGGGATATGAAAGACGGTAAATTGTTTTCAATCGGAATGTAATCAGATGTTTGCAATCATAGACAGTTTCGAGTTCGGATGGATGATTTAGAACTTGTAATGCATCACTATGTGCAACAGGTAAATAAGCGCTCGGTACACCTTTGTAGACGACTATCTATTGAATTAAATATTTATGAGTATATGTACGTACATATATATGCATATATCGATGGCTGAGTGGAAGATCGACCTATCTCAGCTGCCGATTTAAGAACGCCCTATCTCAGCACATTTTCAATATATTTTGAGATAGGGCGTTCTTCAACAAAATTCTGAGATAGGATGTTTTTCAATAAAATTCTGAAATAGTGCGTTCTTCAATCGAATTCTGAAGTAGGGCGTTGTTGAAAAGTTTTCTGAAATAGGGTGTTTTCGAACTGGCTGCCGAGATAGGTAGATCTTCCACTCAGCCATCGATATACAAATGTTAAGTTTGTTTGTTCGGCGGACAAAAACTAAAAAAGTTCTGCACCATTTTTTTTTTTATTTGGACATCTTCTGCAGACTTTGCAAGGTTGGTTTTACTTAGGCGTGGTATATACCTTCCAAACATACAGAAACTTTTACCTATTTCATGCACTCAGCGATTAAGGTGAAGGCAAACAATACATAATTTCATGGTTTTATTTAAATTTACTTACTTTTTCGATTGAAACCAAATGTATTGTTGGTGCATGCATTACAATTTTCAGCTTCGTGTTTTCCGGGATTTGTCCAAATCATTGGTTTTTTTGTCCACCAAAAATTCATCGCACTAATGCACGAAATACATGTGAATTCGGGAGTGTATTTATTTTGTGCAGGTTCAGATTGCAAAAAGTACCATTTATAGCATACTAGCGCATTTTTGCGACTAATTTGCGCTGGTCTGATTTCAAAACGAATTTACCACAAACGTAACAAAACTTGTTTAATTTATTGCAAAGCTTTTTAATTTTTTTCATCTTTAGGAGTTTCCGAAGATAATGCATAAAAGTTTTTCGCAAAATGTTAGATGTTTTTTATCAATTAATATGACAGTAATCGCACGCGCAGATTTTCGGTTTGTGTGTTTTGGTTCCCAACTTATGTGAAATAGACGCGGTATAGATCGCCGCCTATTTGAAAGCATTACTCAGTCACTTTGACTTTAAAGAACAACAGCTTTCACAGTACAAAAAAGGTATTAAAAAGCCATTCGTACAACATAAACTGCAAAAATATGCCAGAGTGGGATTAAAAAGAACCCAAATTCAGATCCAAGCAAGTTATAAACCATTATTATAAAAAAAATATCACGAAATAAAATATGAGTTGTAAGGCAAAACCACATATCTGAACAATCAGTTGTATGGGAGCTATATGTTATAGTGAACCGATTTGCCTGATTTTCAGAAATAGCTAAGGTAATATCAAAATACAGTCACGTGGAAAATTTTAGTAAAATAACCGTACAACTGAGGTAATTATTAACAAAAACCTAAAATTTAAGCAGATTTTAAAGCACCGTTATCTCGAAAACTAGAGCCAATCTGGGAAAACGGAGGACGCCACTGAATTAGAAGATCCCAGTTAAGTAAGATCAGTTATCAAAACCGTTGACCAGAAAAGAAATCAAAACCTGAGCACAGTGTTTTAAACGACGAAAAATTCACTTTCAGAACTCTAAAACTTCCCCCCTAAATATATCAAAATTTTGACGTGATACGGATTTTCTGAAAACGCCTTCGTAATCTAGAGGCCAAAATTAAGTTTACGTATTTGGCCGTTTAGCTGTGATATTTTTGCCTCCCTACTGTGTTATAAGCGTGGCTTTCAGATTTTTAATGCAGAATTTTGAAATACATAATTTCGGAGTACATAATTTTAATAAGAAGAGTTTTGCAATAAAGAAGTTGAATAACTAGAATTCGGAATACAAATTATCTTTGCAGTAGATTCTCGAAAAAGTTAACCGAAATGTTAATGTTAATGGGTAATTAACTTTTTCGAATTAACTTTCCTAAGCGCTTTTCAAGTTTTAAAAAATATAGCAATAAAAAAATATATAATAATAACCCGCTAAATTTGTTTCAATTACTTATTTTTCATCAATACGAAAAAAAACTTAGATTTAATTTGTACGGCATATGGAGAGTTTTCTTGTTTGCTTCTTCATATGTTCTCGCCACTGCCTCCAAAATTCATGCCGTTTTTGGACTCGATTTTGACCCACTTTAAGCGGACGGATTTAATTCAAACTTTGTACACTTATCAAGAATCAGCGACAATATAATAATTTCATAAATTTATCTCATTATCCTGATTAGGATCGCCAGGTGTTAAACATGTGCTAATATACAGATGTTTTACGCCACACATACCTCACAGAGCCGAAAATGTATGAAATTGCAACTTATATGAGTTCATATATTTAATACTGTTGTTCTTTTCATTCAATTTGTAATAAACTTTTTGTTATTATATTATTAAAATATATACATATATATGTATGTATATTAATTTGAAAGCTTAAATAATAATATATAACAATGTTTAAACAATTTTGAATGTTTTTCTTTTTTACACCCTTTTAATTATTAGCTTCACCTGTATGTTTGTATGTATGTATGTTTGTAACCGACTCCTTTGGACTCGATTTTGACCCACTTTAAACGGAGAGATTTAATTCAAACTTTGTACACTTATCAAGAAGCAGCGACAATATAATAATTTCATAAATTTATCTAATTTTCCTGATTAGGATCGCCAGGATTAAATAATTTCCTCACACAGCCTCTGTGTGTAACCGACTCCTTTGGACTCGATTTTGACCCACTTTAAACGGACAGATTTAATTCAAACTTTGTTCACTTATCAAAAATCAGCGACAATATAATAATTTCATAAATTTATCTCATTATCCTGATTAGGATTGCCAGGATTAAATAATTTCCTCACACAGCCTCTGTGTGAGAGCAAGTGAGACAACTACGCTGTCTGCGCATGCGTACCGTCTACTTACTTTCCGACTCGAGCACTCGGCTTATTAGTGTTAAAATATTCTATCCCTATCTGTTGCACAGTTGGCCAAGCGGGCTAAGGCGCTAGTCGTAGGCGTGTACTGAGTGAGTGAGTGGCGTGTACTGAGACCATGCATGGCTTAATCTTTGAGACAAGCATATCACACAAAGTCGGTAAGGCACGGAAAAAGTTCGATGAAACAGTACATGGAACTAAATTACGTATACCGAAGGTTCTTCGCAGCTTTCTGCGCATATGCGTTCTGCGTCTAAGTCCGTAGCATACTTGTTAGTACGCAACGTACTAGTTAGTACGTACTCCCTTACTGAACGCAAATTTTAACTTTCATTTATCATTTAATGATAATGAATGCATGTACTAGCGGTTACTCAATGATTATGAAAATCAGAGGGAAATCCGCTAGTTCCTAGATGCACAAAAATGTTATGATGCCTTATTATAACTCACCTAATCCAATATATTGGTGAGAAACGTGCCGAGGGATGAATGGCAAGAGGGTGAATAAATATATCTTGTCGCTAGCGTCAACCTCAGGGCACCAGGCGCACCCTGTTGACTTTAGCCTTACCCTTCTACGCGGACCTCTGGGAGGGCGGACCTTTATTTGTCCAATATTCGTGGGATTATTATGGAGAAAAAACAAAAACACAACAAAAAACAAAAAAAGGCATTAGAGAAAAGAAGACAACAGTCAATGAAAAGAACCTCAGAACTCTCAAGCGAGGAATTAGAGGAGAGAAAGAAGAAAAGAAGGCTCTATATGAAAAATTATAGAGCCAAGCAATCGAAGAAGGCCAGGGAGGCTCATTTGCAGCAAGTACGTCAGCACACAGCTGGCACCCGAGCCTCAGAATCTGAACAAGCCAGAGAGGCGCGTTTGCAGCAATTGCGTCAGCATGCAGCTGAAAGCCGAGCCTCAGAATCTGAACAAGCCAGAGAGGTGCGTTTGGAGCAATTGCGTCAGCATGCAGCTGAAAGCCGAGCCTCAGAATCTGAACAAGCCAGAGAGGTGCGTTTGCAGCAAATGCAGCAACGAAACACAGAGTCCAGAAGAATAAGTAGAGCCAGTATAACGGGCTTTAGGCAGGCAATTAACACATTTTGTGATAAAATATGTGAAGTTTGCACTAAACGTTGCTATCAACATCAAATTTCTAAGTGGATTGTAGATACTAAAACACCACCATATTTGCCTAACGAATTAAAACAAAAGAATTGTTTAGTTGTATGTAACCGTTGCAAGACCCATTTGACTTCAAAGAAAAACATCGCACCATCTAAGTCTTATTGGAATAATTTAGATCCCGGTTCTATTCCAGAAATTATTGCGGAGTTATCACAAGCCGAACAAAGGCTGATTTCACGCATCATTCCATATGTTAAGATTATAAAACTAAGCGGCGTATTTGGGCAATATAGTTTTCGAGGTAAAGCGATATTGTTCGCTCAGGATGTTTTTGAAGTTACTGAAAATCTTCCGGACATGTTACCAAGAACTACAAATAATGCTGGAATAGTTGTCATTACTGAGCGTCTTGAAAATATCAATGTAACACGACAATTTTCAGTATCTCGGCAAAAAGTATATGACGCACTAAACTGGTTAGTTGCTAACAATCCGCTTTATAAAGACGTCACAATCGATCAAAACGTCATACTGAATGACGAAGATATTGTAAGAGTAGAAGAAGCACCAGTAGAGATTGCTATGGAAACCAACGAAGAACCTACCGAGGATACTAGTGCTTACATGACAATTAATGATTCTTCCAGAATTGCACGTTCTTCATGGCATCAAGGAAACGATGTCATTTTCACGTCAAGATTTGCGGGTGTACAATGCTGTGCAATGGCATTATCTAATATTCTAAGGGCCAGTATTCTTACACCACAACACTGGTGTACAAACACCCTCAATCTGAATATGATAACAGGTCAG